TGCCAATACCATGAACATTCAAATGGCTGTCTTCGATTATTGATTATCGTTCCGCATTTCCCAAAATCTTGAACTGAATCTTGGCAATTTCTCGTGACTACTTCACGACCATGATACATGAATTTCTTAAATTGAACTTTTTTAGCCAAACACGTACACATATGATAAAATGAATGTCACCATCGTGTTCTACGCCTCAAATTACCCATAAAACATGTGTCACAGGCTGCGAATATCAGTTTTTATTTTCGGGGATATGTGCCTGCCCGGTTGACCTGACCTTGACCCTGACCTATGCTTGACTGACCCCTGCATGGAGCTGACACTCGTGTAGGCCTTATATGATGGATTGTGCACCGTTTTGACAGAGTTTATGACGAGAGGCGCCCATTGCAAAGTCCTGAAGTCCATGCTACTGAAAGCCCGATTTCAGGTGTTTGACCTGACCTTGACCTGACCTGTGACCTCAAAATTCAACTTTAAAGTACTCATCTGAAGCGTCTTGTCGCGTTCTTTCGTTTGCCGCCTCGTGCGTTTCGCTGCGCCTATTGGTTCTCGAGTTATCGGCTGGGGGCGTTTAACGCCCCCCCCCCCCAGCAAACGGTGGGTGGCGAAATACCCCAGCAACTGCCGGGTTAACAGATTGATCTTACAATAATGACATTTAGGTACAGGGATCACGATAAAGAAGTCAATGGGCACGGCCGCAACAACAAACGTTTGAAATTTCGGCGATTGAAATTGGTTATGTGTTATGTGCTTAACACTGGATGGATCTGTGAGAAGGCTATAGGGGCTGGTCTGAGGCAATTTAGGTGAGAAGCCCGAAGAGGCTAACCCGCTCTCATGAGGAGCAGTCCCGTTTCGGTTTATGTTTCTGATGCTTGTTGCTGCGCTGCTGCTTCTTGTTGTGAGCTTGTATTTACGCATCTCATGCTCCGGTATCAATCCGATACGGTGATCTGGTGTGGATGCCGCCACCAATTAACTTTTTCTACACCGTCACCCATGGGCGGAGCTTCCTGTACAGTTGGTGTGGCAGTGGCCCCACCAATCTTTATTTTTGCCCCAGCAACTTTGCTAAAAGAGTGAGAAGAGCTTTGAACAGAGAACAAATCAGGTGTGCTTAAAAAGCGGAGAAAGGGTTTGTTTTCGAAAATATCGCGTGCCTTCGGCGCAGCATTTCAAGAACACTTACCGGGGTTACATGAGCGATCCGTTCCAAATACGCACTACGCTAATGCGCATCAGCTCCCCACAAACGGATCTACGGCACCGGTTACATGAGACTAATTCGTTTTATCTACGTCAAACGGATCTTGTTTGGCTCACCCGGGCTGACTCCTCGACGGCCGGTAATTCGCATCACAAACGGAATAGGATTAGCGTACAGTCATGGCGCAGTTGCGGCATTTACCGGGACGACTGAGCTAAATTTTAAATACTTATATCATTTGATAGGCTCAAAAACATTTAGAATTAACATGAAATCAAAAAATGAAAACAAAGTTTTCTTGTTTTAAGTCAGTGGGCACTGATTCGCCATGCAGCGACAGCAGGGTGGTCAGAAAAAATTATCTATCAAAATATTTCATTCATTTTATTTCACATGCAAAGACTAAACCAAAATACCAACATTTTTTTGCTATTTTCTACGAGGCAGCCAATAAAAAAAATGCTTAGTATTTTGCATTTTGACGCTTCCAGTCAGCAAAGAATAGTTCTTGTGAAATACGGCCTGAATCGTGTGCCTCGGACGTTTCGGTTACATGAGCGATCCGTTCCAAATGCGCACTACGCTAATTCGTATCAGCTCCCCAAGAACGCATTCAGTGCACCGACTACATGAGCAAATTCGTATCAGTGACGTCAAACGGATCTAGTTTGGCTCTCGGCCCGATGCGCATTACAAACGGAATAGCATACAAATGTGGCGCACTTCCGTAGCAATAGAGGTGACTAAATTAAAAATTTATTATCTTATGTCTTTTTTGCATTTAATCTGCTAAAAACATTATCAATTAACTTGACAAAAAAAAGTTGAACATAAAGTTGTCTTGCTTTGACTCATTGGGCAATTGCCTCTCTTGATTCGTCTGTAGTGCTGTCAGAAAAATGTTTCAACTGAAATTATGTGGATATTTACTATTTGGTTTTCACTATATTTATTGTTGAAAACTTGACAAAATACCGACATATTTTTTTAAATATTATTTCAAAAGAAGAAAATGAAAAAAATACCTATTATTTTGCATTTTAATGTTTCTTTTTGCGAAGAAATAGTTCCTGTAATACGTATCTTGGTCCTATTCGCTTCTAAGCCTCTTTCCCAGTGGATTTTGTTCGGACCGCCGATTCGTATTAGCAGGTGGATACATGAGTCGGTAGTACGCTCCTGATTCGCATTAGCGGTGAATCCGATCGTGATACGTATTTGCTTTGCTCATGTAACCGCGGATCGGATCGCCGATTCGTACTAGCAGGTGGCTACATGAGTCGGTAATGCGTTCCTAATTCGAATTAGCGGCTAAATACGTATTTACTGTGCTCATGTAACCCCGATAACTTTGTCAATAGGAACTCAGTACTTATGCCAATCACTTGCAACCTTTTTGCCACTGTGAGATTAACCCAATACCTACCAAGTTTTGCAGCACTGCGCGTCGCGGCTTTCCTTACACACGCGAAGAAAAACTGGTGGCGTGGTAAAAAAAAAAAAACGCCTCCCCTCCCCCTCCTGAGCGATCGCTACGGATTTTTATCTCGTGACCGTATGGCGCCCTCCTTGGTGAGGTGGCGCTCTCCTAACCCTTGCCCCCCCCCTTCGCAATTTTCTAAATACGCCGCTGTCTATTATGTAAACTTTTAACTAGGATAGCTAACTACCTGCATGGCTGCCCTAGAATTGTCAGCTGGGTTTGACGCCAACCAGTCAGAACTCAGATCCCATTGCAATTAAACTACCCTGAATAAAGTGAACTATTTAAGAGTGTACCTATCATTTATCAATCCGGTGCGTAGTAGCAAAGTCAAACTGCTAGCAACGGGCTGACCGCCCATCTTACGCATGCATATCTACCTCATAAAGTATCAATATCTCAAACACCAGAGCCGTGGCGGAGTGGCGGGTTATCTACGTCTACGCCTCATAACGTGTAGTCAGTTGACTGCTGATTATTGCTCTTATTTCCCAAAGCGAAAGTTCTTAACCCTTTCCCGTATTGGTGTTTTTATTTCAGCCGCGAACGTATAGGGGGGGGGGGCCTTGCCGTTCCGCCCTTGATCGAGCTAGAGCTTCGCGGAAAAAACGACCATGTTGCCCGTGACGAGAACAAGCCGATGCTACCAAATTTTAAGGTCTTAGGTCATCGGTAGACCTTGTCACCTTCCAGGCCAGGTCAATGACCCAAATGTCGGGAAAATCGGGACCTGTCAGAACGTCGTAAAGGGTGGCTGCTATGGAGTTTTCGGGGTACTGATCACGCATATCATGTTAATTATAATCATAGATGATGTCTTCATGCATTTAGGCCAGGTTAGGTTAGGGTTCCAGTCGAGCTGCTTAGTGTGGGTTTTACTGGTCTGTGTAAGGTATCGCGTGTACGAGGTCTGCCCAGTGGGTGTCTAGGTGGGTCTTGAACTGGTTGAGTGTACTGGCGTCGACAAGTTCTGGCGGCAGAACTACTTCGTAAATGTTCAAATGGTTGCTAAATTCGAATTTAGCTCCAAAAACTAACCTAGAAACATGTAAAACTCGAAAAAGTGAACCGAGGTCATCAAAGGTCATTTACCTGACCTGACCTTCCGGTGACCTTGACACCCACCCTAATGCATGGGAGCAACATCATATCCCATGTTTGAACGCATGAAACCACGGAAAGACTGCAAACGCGCGGCTAATGCGAGCCGACATACGCCGAATCGCGATTCCGGCCAAACATGCTCGAAAAGTAGGTCAAAGGTCATTAGGGTCAGGGTCATGAAATTTTCATGGCAGGTGTAAACTTAATTAACGCGAGGGTACTGAAAGTTTCGTCGTGATCGGCCGCTTTTTACGCGAGTTATTCGCGAAAAATTATTCGCGAAAAACCGAGGGGTGGTCTGTTCGACCCCCCCCCCCCCCTCTATACGGGCGAGGGTTAATACACAAACACGACGGCCCTCAAACACTCACCTCTGGCGCCCAAAATATAAGTGCCGCCCTTCCCTTCGCATTTGATGCCGCCCCCAGGGAGTTATTTCCAGCCCATTTTTTAAGGAGTGATTACGCCCCTGCGGGAACCCGCCGCGCTGCCGGTAGCAACATTATTTGGGGCCGGCAGATTTCTGAATCTGCTGCTGGTAGACAGACATTCGGCGAGTCCGCTGCCAGGGTAGCATATTGGGTCGGCGGAATATGTCTGGCTGCCAGCAGCAGAAGCTTGAATATCAATTTGCCTCTAGATTGGCGGACATTCATATTTCATTAACCCAAAAAATTGTAATGCTCAAGGCTCGTCGCAGCCGACCGCCTTCACCAAATTCGCAGTGATAAATGATCACGTTTTAGGTATTTCTAAGGGAATTTCAGGTATGATATGTCCTACCTAAAAAGTCCGGCAGAAAGCATTTTTAATTTTTGCATGCCTTTTACCTGGTGTAACTTTCGAAATTGCAGCAATTTAGATAAATTGTATCATTGTTTACAATGCTTATTACGTAAATGGTGCTCTAGTTTCGAAATATTTATATTCAACCGCATCTGCGTTTTTCGTAGTCACTGCCTATTCACCAATCAGCAGTCCGAATCACGCCCATTGATTTGGCGAGCAGGACAGAACATCAACTTATGAACATGAGTCAGTAGTTGCACCAGTTACGAGTTACGTAAGTCAGGTGAAGTATAGGTGCAGGGGAAAACGGGTTATAAAGGTTTCCCTCTACCGGGGCCTTTTTTCCCCCTACCGAATCTGTGCTGTGCTGAATCTGTGCTGAATCTGTGCCAACTTCCGTTACATGCCAGTGCTGCCACTGGCAGCAGCCAGTGCTGAGCCATGGGAGTGCGCTGATGGGTAGGGAGTGGTGGAACATCAATCTGCCCCAGAGTGTACCTACCTGTATGGTCTTTGGTCCCATATTGCCTTTATCTAATGTTTGGACTCTGATCTTTCTTTTGCCTGTCATTTGACCAAAAGGAGCTCTAGGGCAGATAGTGGTAATGTGTGGACAGGCTTTTTTAATGAAAAGTCAAGTTTACAATGTTCACACACATGTTTTCTCTAATATGCTATGCTGCTGGCACGCCTGGCAGAGCAATTAACTTGAACAAAATTACTTTTGAAACATGAAATGTGGGTCTGAGCTCAAATTTTGTGTACATGCTCTTGCAACACATTTTTCAATTCTTTGTATGCCCCCAAAAAATCTTATCACATATTTCTTGTATTAATTCATGATAATTAAATTAAAAACAAATGGTATTGCCTAATGCAAGTAACCTTTGGGACAGTAGGTATACTTCAGCTGTTCAAAAATGCATTCAAAAGATTTTGGAAGTTGTCAAGTCATGCCAGTAAAGCAATGCTTCTTCTGAACTGCACAGAACAAATTGAACCTCATAACTCAATTGTTAGGACTAACTATGTCAATTATGCTGCTGACAGCTCAAGTGTTTTCATGATGATTTTGAAACTCACATTTTCAGCTGCCAGCATCAAGAGGATAAGGGATGTCTCTGCTCAGTCATTTGATGCCCTCAGCGCTACTACACAAGCTCCCCTCACTCCCCTTACAAGCAGTGAGGCAGGCCTCAAAGAAAGCTGGCGGCAGTACAAAGTACGGCTCGAACCGACGCGGGCGGGCCCACCACTACGGCTGGAAGGCCCAGGACGGCCAGCTGGTGACTGCAGGCAGCATTCTGGTCAAGCAGCGCACCCTGCGCTACCACCCGGGAGAGAACGTGCAGATCGGCCGCTCTGGCGACCTGCTGGCGCTGCAGAACGGCACGGTGGCCGTCACGTGCGAGCCGTTCACCCCGGACACCGAGAGCGGACATGTCTGGGTGAAGAGGGTGTACGGCGACCGGCCCGCCGGCACCGTCATCTACAAGAAGTACTACCATGTGCTGGTGCAGCCGCAGGTCGGACGGTTTAAGCTGGTGGCAGAGGTCTGACGGCTGCCAGTGACGGCTCGGGGGGGGGGAATGTGGTGCTAGTTTCTTTGAATGGGGTGCTTGTGTTCGGGAAGGACGATACCGTCAACTCGAGTGTCAGCGTGTATGTCGTGTGTGCGAACGGTGAATCTTGTGAAACCATCGCGATGGTGTGATAAATTGCAGTCTCATTGTTTCTGAGGTGTCTAACAAAACAAGGAATACCTATGTTGAATTAATAAGTCACCAGTGAGCTCGATAAAAGTAGCATCTAAGTACTTCTTCTTCTTGGTTTAGGGCGCATAGCCTCGTTGGGCTCAGAGCGTAGCATCTAAGTAGGTATCTCGAGATGCTTTCTATTTGTCTCTAGAGCGCAACTTAAGTGTGTTGCTCGTCCGACAGCATGCCGTTCTTGAAAATACATCACTGTTCAGAGCACTTGTAAGCATTTCTTATACGCGATTTTCACATCGCCAACACAGTTAGCTTCGCCGAGCTGTGGACAGGCACTATCTCCGGTAATTCGTAGATAGCGCCTGAGAAATATTCTTCGTTCATCGGATTGAAGCACCAATCAGACCAACAAAACGCATTTACGTAATAAAAGAAACATATTTACTTCACCGTAGAACATATCACAAATGGCGCACATTACACAAGCTAACCTCGACACGACACACCAAAGCTCGTCCATCAGCGCCGCGCGAGGAGCTTCACGTCGCACAGAGCATCCTAAGCAGTGTCGATCGCTAGGCTAGGAGGTTCGTCAGACGCGCTCAGAGACCCAGATGGCTGCGTGACAGCCGGCTTTGATGGTCTGCGAGAGCAGCTGGTACGCCGGCGCCAGCTCGGCGTCGTGCGCCAGGCCCGTGTCGTGGTGTTCCATCTCGTCGTCACGGAATTTCGAGATCACCTGGCGGAGCGGGGGTAGCTGCGTTACGGATCACACCATAGGCGTTGGGAAAGTGGACACATTTAGTCTGGAAATGTCTGAGCACTTCTTGATGAAGTAAACAAGACTCTGTGATCTTATTTTCAAAGTTCTGTTATTTGTGACTCATCATACGTCAGCCATTGGCCAGTGAGAAAATATAGTCGATTGTGTTGGTTGTATATTCGACACACCAACAAGGTTTAACTTTTGACTCGTGCAGATGTTCACACTTTTCCCGTATGCCATTAGCTGGTCGATAAGTTGGTCAATAAGGACTGGACTGCAGCCCAGCGTACCTCTAACAACTCCTTATGATCCTCGCCGGTCTCCTGCGAGAGTCGGCTCAGTTCGCGGATCTGGCTGTTGTAGTGGTCGGTGATGACCGATTCCACGGCCACCGTGCATGCCATAGCCGCCTCCTTCCCCAGCAGCGCGGTACCTGTCAACGCACGCGATAGTCAGTGACACCTCCACCGTTGCTTTGGCCAATCTTTGGGGAGTAGGTACTCTCCAAATTTCTATGTCCAAACTGTTTGGAATTGGAACTCGGGTACCAGAAATGAGCTTGAGTGAGTAAGACAAGACTAGCCACCTAAGGATGTAATTGATTGCAATCTTATAACACAAGACATGATCATCATCAATTTTAGAGTGATGTTTTTGACCTGACCAACTGAAAACCATCAAGGTGCAATTCAAAAAGTCATCACTCACCTGCTCCCAGAACGTAGCCTGCCACGTTCCAGAGTGGTAGCATTACAGTGGGTCTGGCTCTGTACTTGGGGATCAGTTCCTCAAACTTGGCTTTGTGCTCCTTCTCCTGGTCCCACATGTGCTGAATGGTTTGGCCAACACTGGTCTTGCCTAAAAGAGCGACAATATATGATAGTTAAGTAGTGTTTGCAATCCAGCCAATCTCAACAATCACATTTCAGTACATCCATTAGTGCTTTTGCTTGGTGACCTGCCCCTCCAAGAAGAAGCTGCTTTAAGAAATGTAACCTGATTTTTATTGTAGAACAGCTTAGGTGGAGTTTTTGTGCTGCATGGACAACTATTTGATGTTAAAATGTTATAATTGCATGTTCCAGTTCAAATTTCACATACATAAGGAATTGCTCAGCTTACCTAGAACCGCCATTTGTCCAGCGTATATTCTGTCTGCTCCTAGTTCACCTGCGTGATCAACTCTCAATATCCTATCAACTTGTTTGCTTGGCCTTGATCCCAAGCTGCTGTAAAACCTGTATACTGAAAAGACCTGTGATTTTGCAAATTTTGCTTGATAATTCATATTTCAGCTCCTGAAGTGATGGATGTGTCTCCTGGAAATAAAAGTACATCTCATTCAAAGAACAACTGATGGCATTCAGGGAGGTTATCATAAACTTATATTGTGCAAGGCATGTAGGGGTACATAACATGAACATATTACACTTGGGGACAGGGGACTTCAACCATTGGAATGTACTGGTTTATATAGCCTTGAACATACGTATGAACATACCTATGAACTGAGCAGTAATCGCCACGCACTTTCAGAATGTGGATCGCTCATGATTGTTCAATACCAGGCAAGATGATGTGTTGAGGCTTTGACTCCTGATTTCAATCATCAAATCCACAATGAGTGATCCTACCAATAAGGTAGTGGAGTGATCATATGAAATGCCTACCAGCAATAAGGTAGGATCACTATTCACTCCACAGGAACCCTTGTAATCTAAAAACTACTGTATCAGCAAAACTTTGAAATTCATTCATTTTTATGCCCAAGGAATTCAAGCAAAGAGCGAGCAAAACAGGTATATAAATAACACCTCAAGCAGCTCTTTCTTATACTACATGGTTGACAGGCCTGACATGTATTCAGTACAAATTCAGTATTTCCAGGGGGGTACGCTCCGGCTGTTTAGCATTACGAAAAATGGTGACAGACGTTTGTGGAGGATTGTCGACGAACTCTTGTTCCGCGAGCAGTACTTACACGCTAGCGGAAAATTCACCAATCAGCGCTCGGCAGTACTCGACGCTGATTGGTCCGACGCTCGTGACGAAATTGCGGGGGACCGCAGTTATTCTCTATGGACCCGAATAGGCTTTTGGATTTCGGAGGAGTTTCTTTAAAATTATATGCTGTTTGGAGCTGTTTTCGAGTTGAAATATATTTCTTATGACTGTTAGCTATATAATGACACCATAAAATCATGATTTTAATAAATATTACCGATGTAATATCGGCCGAAAAGACATGCTGTCATGGCACGGACTGCCCTGCGGCTGATGTGGGGCCCCTAGTGCCAGCGTATGGTAATAATGGGTTGACGAAGGGTTATTGGAGAAACTTAGAGCCCCTTTAGCATTCAGTATAGGGTCATCAGAGGCCGGGAATGTCCATCAGGGGTCTGAGTAGGCCTGTCATAGGGGCATACATGACACATCATGGCCCATGGGTCAATGTAGATCCATTAGGGGCCGTTGAAGGGCCATCATTGTTCAGCGTGGGCTCGCAATTACCTCTGATGGGCATATGCCGTGCCCCGATGGACTAACGCTGGCCCCTGATGAACCATCACCAGCCCCTGATAGGTCTACAAAGCCCTCTGCTGGGTCCAAATTGGTCACTGATATGCCCAAATGGGCCACTGAGAAACCCGTACAACATCCCCTGACTGCACCTGCTGGACCAATGCCGTCCCCTCATGGGCCCACCACAGCTCTTGAATGACCTTTTCAAGTCCCCTGAAGTGCCTTTATTGGCCTAAATGGCCCCTGATTGACTGATGTGGTCCCTATTGGTCCTATATGGCCCCCATGAGCCCTCAACGTCGGCCTAGACAGCCTTACATTATATGCCACTGGGCCCTGTTGGGTCAGCACCGGCCCCCGATAGGCTTGCACACTGGACCCACCGGGCCTATACCGACCCATGAAGGGTCTATGTCGAACCCTCATGGACCTCCGATGACCACACGCCGACATGTGTGGCCCCATCAGCAGTGGTCCGTCTATCCCATGTACTTACGGTCTTTTTGGCCGATGTGACACCGGTAGTATATAGAATGTCATGATTAAATGTCGTTATTACACAGTCAAAAGTCACAGAAAGAATATCCAAGCTCAAAAATGGCCTCAAACCCAACAAAAACTGGTATAAATCCCCTTCAAAAGCCGTAAGTCTATTAAACGCCATAGGGGAATAGCTACAGTCCCCCGCAATTTCGTCACGAGCATCGGGCCAATCAGCGTCGAGTATTGCCGAACGCCGATTGGTCGGTTTCCGCTAGCCTGTAAATGCTGCTTGCGGATATAGTTTTGAACAAGTGAGGGTCGCGGCTACTAATTAATGTAACGGAAGTTGGCACAGATTCAGCACAGATTCAGCACAGCACAGATTCGGTAGGGGGAAAAAAGGCCCCGGTAGAGGGAAACCTTTATAACCCGTTTTCCCCTAGAAATGACATCACAAAGAGGTAAAAATGGGTATCAATCGAAAGCTCTCGTTTACCCAGACACAGTCCTGCAGGAAAATTCCACTTTTTCCCCATAGGAAAGTTTTTACGGGAAAATCAAAATTTCGGGTCAATGGGGGGTCCCCCCCGATTTCGTTCAAAATCGGCACACAGGTGCCCCACCACCAGCCGAGAAACTTTCCCCAAAACGGTCCCCGTTGCATTGACGTTTAAGGCCCTTAAAGCCCCGTAAACTCGTAAAAAATCCGTAAATTCGCCCTTGTACGGCCAAAAACGGGGCGCTAGGGTAAAAATGGGTATCAATCGAAAGCTCTCGTTTACCCGGACACAGTCCTGCAGGAAAATTCCACTTTTTCCCCATAGGAAAGTTTTTACGGGAAAATCAAAATTTCGGGTCAATGGGGGGTCCCCCCCGATTTCGTTCAAAATCGGCACACAGGTGCCCCACCACCAGCCGAGAAACTTTCCCCAAAACGGTCCCCGTTGCATTGACGTTTAAGGCCCGTAAAGCCCCCTAGACTCGTAAAATATCCGTAAAATCGCCTTTGTACGGACAAAAAAGTGGTGCTATGGTAAAAATGGGTATCAATCGAAAGCTCTCGTTTACCCAGATACAGTCCTGCAGGAAAATTCCACTTTTTCCCCATAGGAAAGTTTTTACGGGAAAATCAAAATTTCGGGTCAATGGGGGGTCCCCCCCGATTTCGTTCAAAATCGGCACACAGGTGCCCCACCACCAGCCGAGAAACTTTCCCCAAAACGGTCCCCGTTGCATTGACGTTTAAGGCCCTTAAAGCCCCGTAAACTCGTAAAAAATCCGTAAATTCGCCCTTGTACGGCCAAAAAAAGTGGTGCTATGGTAAAAATGGGTATCAATCGAAAGCTCTCGTTTACCCAGACACAGTCCTGCAGGAAAATTCTACTTTTTCCCCATAGGAAAGTTTTCACGGAAAAATCAAAATTTTGGGTCAATGGGGGGTCCCCCCCGATTTCGTTCAAAATCGGCACACAGGTGCCCCACCACCAGCCGAGAAACTTTCCCCAAAACGGTCCCCGTTGCATTGACGTTTAAGGCCCGTAAAGCCCCCTAGACTCGTAAAATATCCGTAAAATCGCCTTTGTACGGACAAAAAAGTGGTGCTATGGTAAAAATGGGTATCAATCGAAAGCTCTCGTTTACCCAGATACAGTCCTGCAGGAAAATTCCACTTTTTCCCCATAGGAAAGTTTTTACGGGAAAATCAAAACTTTGGGTCAATGGGGGGTCCCCCCCGATTTCGTTCAAAATCGGCACACAGGTGCCCCACCACCAGCCGAGAAACTTTCCCCAAAACGGTCCCCGTTGCATTGACGTTTAAGGCCCTTAAAGCCCCGTAAACTCGTAAAAAATCCGTAAATTCGCCCTTGTACGGCCAAAAACGGGGCGCTAGGGTAAAAATGGGTATCAATCGAAAGCTCTCGTTTACCCAGACACAGTCCTGCAGGAAAAGTTCACTTTTTCCCCATAGGAAAGTTTTTACGGGAAAATCAAAATTTCGGGTCAATGGGGGGTCCCCCCGATTTCGTTCAAAATCGGCACACAGGTGCCCCACCACCAGCCGAGAAACTTTCCCCAAAACGGTCCCCGTTGCATTGATGTTTAAGGCCCGTAAAGCCCCCTAAACTCGTAAAATATCCGTAAAATCGCCTTTGTATGGACAAAAAAGTGGTGCTATGGTAAAAATGGGTATCAATCGAAAGCTCTCGTTTACCCAGATACAGTCCTGCAGGAAAATTCCACTTTTTCCCCATAGGAAAGTTTTTACGGGAAAATCAAAATTTTGGGTCAATGGGGGGGGGGGTCCCCCCGATTTCGTTCAAAATCGGCACACAGGTGCCCCACCACCAGCCGAGAAACTTTCCCCAAAACGGTCCCCGTTGCATTGACGTTTAAGGCCCTTAAAGCCCCGTAAACTCGTAAAAAATCCGTAAATTCGCCCTTGTACGGCCAAAAAAGTGGTGCTATGGTAAAAATGGGTATCAATCGAAAGCTCTCGTTTACCCAGACACAGTCCTGCAGGAAAATTCCACTTTTTCCCCATAGGAAAGTTTTTACGGAAAAATCAAAATTTTGGGTCAATGGGGGGTCCCCCCCGATTTCGTTCAAAATCGGCACACAGGTGCCCCACCACCAGCCGAGAAACTTTCCCCAAAACGGTCCCCGTTGCATTGACGTTTAAGGCCCTTAAAGCCCCGTAAACTCGTAAAAAATCCGTAAATTCGCCCTTGTACGGCCAAAAACGGGGCGCTAGGGTAAAAATGGGTATCAATCGAAAGCTCTCGTTTACCCGGACACAGTCCTGCAGGAAAATTCCACTTTTTCCCCATAGGAAAGTTTTTACGGGAAAATCAAAATTTCGGGTCAATGGGGGGTCCCCCCCGATTTCGTTCAAAATCGGCACACAGGTGCCCCACCACCAGCCGAGAAACTTTCCCCAAAACGGTCCCCGTTGCATTGACGTTTAAGGCCCGTAAAGCCCCCTAGACTCGTAAAATATCCGTAAAATCGCCTTTGTACGGACAAAAAAGTGGTGCTATGGTAAAAATGGGTATCAATCGAAAGCTCTCGTTTACCCAGATACAGTCCTGCAGGAAAATTCTACTTTTTCCCCATAGGAAAGTTTTTACGGGAAAATCAAAATTTCGGGTCAATGGGGGGTCCCCCCCGATTTCGTTCAAAATCGGCACACAGGTGCCCCACCACCAGCCGAGAAACTTTCCCCAAAACGGTCCCCGTTGCATTGACGTTTAAGGCCCTTAAAGCCCCGTAAACTCGTAAAAAATCCGTAAATTCGCCCTTGTACGGCCAAAAACGGGGCGCTAGGGTAAAAATGGGTATCAATCGAAAGCTCTCGTTTACCCGGACACAGTCCTGCAGGAAAATTCTACTTTTTCCCCATAGGAAAGTTTTTGCGGGAAAATCAAAATTTCGGGTCAATGGGGGGGTCCCCCCCGATTTCGTTCAAAATCGGCACACAGGTGCCCCACCACCAGCCGAGAAACTTTCCCCAAAACGGTCCCCGTTGCATTGACGTTTAAGGCCCGTAAAGCCCCCTAGACTCGTAAAATATCCGTAAAATCGCCTTTGTACGGACAAAAAAGTGGTGCTATGGTAAAAATGGGTATCAATCGAAAGCTCTCGTTTACCCAGATACAGTCCTGCAGGAAAATTCCACTTTTTCCCCATAGGAAAGTTTTTACGGGAAAATCAAAATTTTGGGTCAATGGGGGTCCCCCCCGATTTCGTTCAAAATCGGGGGGACCCCCCATTGACCCGAAATTTTGATTTTCCCGTAAAAACTTTCCTATGGGGAAAAAGTGGAATTTTCCTGCAGGACTGTGTCTGGGTAAACGAGAGCTTTCGATTGATACCCATTTTTACCCTAGCGCCCCGTTT